CTACCGGAGTGCACCTATTGGCAATGAAATCGGAAAGCTGACTTTGAGCGTCGATATCTCGAAAACTATCTGTCCTATCGGGCTGATCGTAGTCTCATTCGATTCAGCGTGTCATTTTCTACTGGAAAAGCGATAATTCGCGTGAATTTCCGCCGTTTTCTGGCACTTTCGGCCGTCCGAAGATAGCTCGGTGACTATATCGTACTGAAGTCTCAGGTAGGAAAATGAAAATTTTCATTTGGCCTATTAAAAATCTGAAAAAATTCAAATAGACTAATTCGATGTCGAAAAGAACAAATCTGTGGTGAAAAGTGGGAAATTTGGAATAATTGAGACGTAGTAGCCTACCGGAGTGCACCTATTGGCAATGAAATCGGAAAGCTGACTTTGAGCGTCGATATCTCGAAAACTATCTGTCCTATCGGGCTGATCGTAGTCTCATTCGATTCAGCGTGTCATTTTCTACTGGAAAAGCGATAAGTCGCGTGAATTTCCGCCGTTTTCTGGCACTTTCGGCCGTCCGAAGATAGCTCGGTGACTATATCGTACTGAAGTCTCAGGTAGGAAAATGAAAATTTTTATTTGGCCTATTAAAAACCTGAAAAAATTCAAATAGACTAATTCGATGTCGAAAAGAACGAATCTGTGGTGAAAAGTAGGAAATTTTGAATAATTGAGACGTAGTAGCCTACCGGAGTGCACCTATTGGCACTGATATCGGAAAGCTGACTTTGAGCGTCGATATCTCGAAAACTATCTGTCCTATCGGGCTGATCGTAGTCTCATTCGATTCAGCGTGTCATTTTCTACTGGAAAAGCGATAATTCGCGTGAATTTCTGCCGTTTTCTGGCACTTTCGGCCGTCCGAAGATAGCTCGGTGACTATATCGTACTGAAGTCTCAGGTAGCAAAATGAAAATTTTTATTTGGTCTATGAAAAATCTGAAAAAATTCAAATAGACTAATTCGATGTCGAAAAGAACGAATCTGTGGTGAAAAGTAGGAAATTTTGAATAATTGGGACGTAGTAGCCTACCGGAGTGCACCTATTGGCAATGAAATCGGAAAGCTGACTTTGAGCGTCGATATCTCGAAAACTATCTGTCCTATCGGGCTGATCGTAGTCTCATTCGATTCAGCGTGTCATTTTCTACTGGAAAAGCGATAAGTCGCGTGAATTTCCGCCGTTTTCTGGCACTTTCGGCCGTCCGAAGATAGCTCGGTGACTATATCGTACTGAAGTCTCAGGTAGGAAAATGAAAATTTTTATTTGGCCTATTAAAAATCTTAAAAAATTCAAATAGACTAATTCGATGTCGAAAAGAACGAATCTGTGGTGAAAAGTAGGAAATTTTGAATAATTGAGACGTAGTAGCCTACCGGAGTGCACCTATTGGCAATGAAATCGGAAAGCTGACTTTGAGCGTCGATATCTCGAAAACTATCTGTCCTATCGGGCTGATCGTAGTCTCATTCGATTCAGCGTGTCATTTTCTACTGGAAAAGCGATAAGTCGCGTGAATTTCCGCCGTTTTCTGGCACTTTCGGCCGTCCGAAGATAGCTCGGTGACTATATCGTACTGAAGTCTCAGGTAGGAAAATGAAAATTTTTATTTGGCCTATTAAAAATCTGAAAAAATTCAAACAGACTAATTCGATGTCGAAAAGAACGAATCTGTGGTGAAAAGTAGGAAATTTTGAATAATTGAGACGTAGTAGCCTACCGGAGTGCACCTATTGGCAATGAAATCGGAAAGCTGACTTTGAGCGTCGATATCTCGAAAACTATCTGTCCTATCGGGCTGATCGTAGTCTCATTCGATTCAGCGTGTCATTTTCTACTGGAAAAGCGATAATTCCCGTGAATTTCCGCCGTTTTCTGGCACTTTCGGCCGTCCGAAGATAGCTCGGTGACTATATCGTACTGAAGTCTCAGGTAGGAAAAATGAAAATTTTCATTTGGCCTATTAAAAATCTGAAAAAATTCAAATAGACTAATTCGATGTCGAAAAGAACGAATCTGTGGTGAAAAGTAGGAAATTTTGAATAATTGAGACGTAGTAGCCTACCGGAGTGCACCTATTGGCAATGAAATCGGAAAGCTGACTTTGAGCGTCGATATCTCGAAAACTATCTGTCCTATCGGGCTGATCGTAGTCTCATTCGATTCAGCGTGTCATTTTCTACTGGAAAAGCGATAAGTCGCGTGAATTTCCGCCGTTTTCTGGCACTTTCGGCCGTCCGAAGATAGCTCGGTGACTATATCGTACTGAAGTCTCAGGTAGGAAAATGAAAATTTTTATTTGGCCTATTGAAAATCTGAAAAAATTCAAATGGACTAATTCGATGTCTAAAAGAACGAATCTGTGGTGAAAAGTAGGAAATTTTGAATAATTGAGACGTAGTAGCCTACCGGATTGCACCTATTGGCAATGAAATGGGGAAAGCTGACTTTGAGCGTCGATATCTCGAAAACTATCTGTCCTATCGGGCTGATCGTAGTCTCATTCGATTCAGCGTGTCATTTTCTACTGGAAAAGCGATAAGTCGCGTGAATTTCCGCCGTTTTCTGACACTTTCGGCCGTCCGAAGATAGCTCGGTGACTATATCGTACTGAAGTCTCAGGTAGGAAAATGAAAATTTTTATTTGGCCTATTAAAAATCTTAAAAAATTCAAATAGACTAATTCGATGTCGAAAAGAACGAATCTGTGGTGAAAATTAGGAAATTTTGAATAATTGAGACGTAGTTGCCTACCGGAGTGCACCTATTGGCAATGAAATCGGAAAGCTGACTTTGAGCGTCGATATCTCGAAAACTATCTGTCCTATCGGGCTGATCGTAGTCTCATTCGATTCAGCGTGTCATTTTCTACTGGAAAAGCGATAATTCGCGTGAATTTCCGCCGTTTTCTGGCACTTTCGGCCGTCCGAAGATAGCTCGGTGACTATATCGTACTGAAGTCCCAGGTAGGAAAATGAAAATTTTTATTTGGCCTATTAAAAATATGAAAAAATTCAAATAGACCAATTCGATGTCTAAAAGAACGAATCTGTGGAGAAAATTAGGAAATTTTGAATAATTGAGACGTAGTAGCCTACCGGATTGCACCTATTGGCAATGAAATGGGAAAGCTGACTTTGAGCGTCGATATCTCGAAAACTATCTGTCCTATCGGGCTGATCGTAGTCTCATTCGATTCAGCGTGTCATTTTCTACTGGAAAAAGCGATAAGTCGCGTGAATTTCCGCCGTTTTCTGACACTTTCGGCCGTCCGAAGATAGCTCGGTGACTATATCGTACTGAAGTCTCAGGTAGGAAAATGAAAATTTTTATTTGGCCTATTAAAAATCTTAAAAAATTCAAATAGACTAATTCGATGTCGAAAAGAACGAATCTGTGGTGAAAATTAGGAAATTTTGAATAATTGAGACGTAGTTGCCTACCGGAGTGCACCTATTGGCAATGAAATCGGAAAGCTGACTTTGAGCGTCGATATCTCGAAAACTATCTGTCCTATCGGGCTGATCGTAGTCTCATTCGATTCAGCGTGTCATTTTCTACTGGAAAAGCGATAATTCGCGTGAATTTCCGCCGTTTTCTGGCACTTTCGGCCGTCCGAAGATAGCTCGGTGACTATATCGTACTGAAGTCCCAGGTAGGAAAATGAAAATTTTTATTTGGCCTATTAAAAATATGAAAAAATTCAAATAGACCAATTCGATGTCTAAAAAAACGAATCTGTGGAGAAAATTAGGAAATTTTGAATAATTGAGACGTAGTAGCCTACCGGATTGCACCTATTGGCAATGAAATGGGAAATCTGACTTTGAGCGTCGATATCTCGAAAACTATCTGTCCTATCGGGCTGATCGTAGTCTCATTCGATTCAGCGTGTCATTTTCTACTGGAAAAGCGATAAGTCGCGTGAATTTCCGCCGTTTTCTGACACTTTCGGCCGTCCGAAGATAGCTCGGTGACTATATCGTACTGAAGTCTCAGGTAGGAAAATGAAAATTTTTATTTGGCCTATTAAAAATCTTAAAAAATTCTAATAGACTAATTCGATGTCGAAAAGAACGAATCTGTGGTGAAAATTAGGAAATTTTGAATAATTGAGACGTAGTTGCCTACCGGAGTGCACCTATTGGCAATGAAATCGGAAAGCTGACTTTGAGCGCCGATATCTCGAAAACCGTCTGTCCTATCGTTAGATCAAATTTCACTTGTGAAAAAAAAAGAGGAACACGGCTCCTCCACCATTTTATGACGTACTTTCTGAAAATACACATTCACACAGAGTTAAATACGCCAGTACGACGTTTCCGACATCATCAATATGTCTAGATTTCCGGAAATCGTTCTGTCAAGTATTATGAATAATTACCATAAATCTCTCAATGGCTGGACGAAGTTGATTAATAATGGAGATAAATTATGATATTTTTCGATAGTATCTATAATTTTCCACTATCGTTATATTACAATATGTTATTCATAACTTATCAGTTATTTTTTTGCTAATGAATTCGTTCCTTAATAAAGCGGATCTGTTTTCTAGTAAAGTTGCAGATTATATCTTGCAACAGCGCCTAATACTTCGAGTCCGTCCACACCACTCAAAATACTGAGAGGCACAACAAGAGGAAGGAGCCATGGGTGTCGGCTTCACTCTGTTCTGACCGATGGCAGTAAATTAGGAAGGATAGTATCATTGAATGTAGCCGATAGTGATTCATTGATTCAATGATATTTTCGTTTAGGATTGAGATCTATTCTAACCTGTCAGAATGAAGCCAACTACCTCTTGCATTCCTGCTCCGAGTGCATTTGTGGTTATGTGTCACAGTTTGCCGCCCCGAGAATTAGAAATTGCTTTAATTTGAAAATGAAAACGACTTGGACTTTATCGGTCGCCATTCTGTACAGCGTGGACATAAAACTGGAGAGTTCTGAACTCATTTTATGAAAATTCATCTGAAGGAAACTTCTTTTTCAGGCTCTGCTCGTCCCGATTCGGTTGCCTAGGTCCCAGCCGAGAACTCTGTCATGGTATCGTGCAGCAGTATCAGCAACAAATCAACGATGATCTCGAATTGATCGAAGAGGAGCCCGAATCTCACGCACCTCAAATTCTGAGGCACACTGTGCTGCTCATTCTGCTATCCTGTTCGATGTTTGTGGTAAGAATAATTGATACTCTCAACACCCATACCCGATTTCTCAATTTCAGAGGATTTTCATTTTTCATGCTCTCTTTTTGGATGTTCAACAGATATAATTCAATGTTCGACGTGGCAAATAGACAGATGTCCGGCATGTACATCGGAATTTTTGAAAAAAACTGGCCTTGAAACTTCAGGGCTATCCGACAAACTTGAGACTTTTGACTTTGACACATACCTCACGCTCTAGTAACGCCAAATTGATATGAAATGTGAAAGCTTTATCTCAAGAGAAAGCATTTGTTTCGACTAAGCGGGCAACCTCTGATTATACAATGAGAGTTACGTGTTTTTGGGGTTATAAAGGCAATCAATTAATGGAAAAAATGTCTCAAATTGGCCATATCTGACCGGTCATTTCTCGTGAACGTTAAACGCATTTTCTAAAGCATATTTCTCAGGGACTGGCTCTGTCCATTTGGGCCCTCGTGATGGAACAGATGCCGGCATCTACATCGAAATTTTTGAAAGAAACAGGCCTTGAAACTTCAGGGCTATCCAAAAAACTTGAGACTTTTGACTTTGACACATACCTCACGCTCTAGTGACGCCAAATTGATATAAAATGTGAAAGCTTTCTCTCAAGAGTAAGCATTTGTTTCGACTAAGCGGGCATCCTTTGATTATACAATGAGAGACAATGTTTTTGGGGTTATAAGACAGTCAATTAATGGAAAAATGTCTCAAATTGACCATATCTGACCTTTCATTTCTCGTGAACGTTACACGCATTTTCTAAAGCATATTTCTCAGGGACTGGCTCTGCCCATTTGGACCCTTGTGATGGAACAGATGTCCGGCATCTACATCGACATTTTTGAAAAAACAGGCCTTGAAACTTCAGGGCTATCCAACAACCTTGAGATTTTCGACTTTGACACATACCTCACGCTCTAGTAACGTCAAATTGATATGAAATGTGAAAGCTTTCTCTCAAGAGTAAGCATTTGTTTCGACTAAGCGGGCAACCTTTGATTATACAATGAGAGTTAGGTGTTTTTGGGGTTATAAGACAGTCAATTAATGGAAAAATGTCTCAAATTGACCATATCTGACCTTTCATTTCTCGTGAACGTTACACGCATTTTCTAAAGCATATTTCTCAGGGACTGGCTCTGCCCCTTGTGATGGAACAGATGTCCGGCATCTACATCGGGATTTTTGAAAAAAACTGGTCTCGAAACTTCAGGGCTATCCAACAACCTTGAGACTTTCGACTTTGACACATACCTCACGCTCTAGTAACGTCAAATTGATATGAAATGTGAAAGCTTTCTCTCAAGAGTAAGCATTTGTTTCGACTAAGCGGGCATCCTTTGATTATACAATGAGAGTTAGGTGTTTTTGGGTTAATAAGACAGTCAATTAATGGAAAAAATGTCTCAAATTGACCATATCTGACCTTTTATTTCTCGTGAACGTTACACGCATTTTCTAAAGCATATTTCTCAGGGACTGGCTCTGCCCCTTGTGATGGAACAGATGTCCGGCATCTACATCGGGATTTTTGAAAAAAAACTGGTCTCGAAACTTCAGGGCTATCCAACAACCTTGATACTTTCGACTTTGACACATACCTCACGCTCTAGTAACGTCAAATTGATATGAAATGTGAAAGCTTTCTCTCAAGAGTAAGCATTTGTTTCGACTAAGCGGGCATCCTTTGATTATACAATGAGAGTTAGGTGTTTTTGGGGTTATAAGACAGTCAATTAATGGAAAAAATGTCTCAAATTGACCATGACCTTTCATTTCTCGTGAACGTTACACGCATTTTCTAAAGCATTTTCTCAGGGACTGGCTCTGCCCCTTGTGATGGAACAGATGTCCGGCATCTACATCGGGATTTTTGAAAAAAACTGGTCTCGAAACTTCAGGGCTATCCAACAACCTTGAGACTTTCGACTTTGACACATACCTCACGCTCTAGTAACGTCAAATTGATATGAAATGTGAAAGCTTTCTCTCAAGAGTAAGCATTTGTTTCGACTAAGCGGGCATCCTTTGATTATACAATGAGAGTTAGGTGTTTTTGGGGTTATAAGACAGTCAATTAATGGAAAAAATGTCTCAAATTGACCATGACCTTTCATTTCTCGTGAACGTTACACGCATTTTCTAAAGCATATTTCTCAGGGACTGGCTCTGTCCATTTGAACCCTCGTGATGGAACAGATGTCCGGCATCTACATCGGAATTTTTGAAAAAAACTGGCCTTGAAACTTCAGGGCTATCCAACAACCTTGAGACTTTCGACTTTGACACATACCTCACGCTCAAGTAACGTCAAATTGATATGAAATGTGGAAGCTTTCTCTCAAGAGTAAGCATTTGTTTCGACTAAGCGGGCATCCTTTGGTTATACAATGAGAGTTAGGTGTTTTTGGGGTTATAAGACAGTCAATTAATGGAAAAAATGTCTCAAATTGACCATGACCTTTCATTTCTCGTGAACGTTACACGCATTTTCTAAAGCATATTTCTCAGGGACTGGCTCTGTCCATTTGGACCCTCGTGATGGAACAGATGTCCGGTATCTACATTAAAATTTAGAAAAACTGACCTTGAAACTTCAGGGCTATCCAACAAACTTGAGACTTTCGACTTTGACCAAATGAAATGTGAAAGCCTTATTTCAAGAGTGAGCAATTGTTTCTACGAAGCGGGCAACCTTTGATCATACAATGGGGGATTTTTTTTGTGGTTATGATGACAATCAATTAATGGAAAAAATGTCTCAAATTTACCATATCTGACCGGTCATTACTCGTGAACGTACACGCAATCTCTAAAGAATATTTCACAGGGACTGGCTCTGTCCATTTGGACCCTCGTGATGGAACAGATGTCCGGCATCTACATCGAGCTGTCCTTCTTGGACGCCACCTTGAACTTTGGCCAGAGCATCGCGGTGTTCGCCATCTTTGGTCTGGACACCAAGGAGATTGCTCTGCCGGCAGTGAAGTACTGGCGGATCTTGTGGTATGGTGCCAACGCGTTGAATCTGCCCGCGTGGCACGAATTAGGCACGGAGACGAGGCACGTCTGCGACCAGTTCGTTACGCACCATTTGCAGAGCTGCAGAAGCGCCATCGCCGCAGACAGAAGGTGAGATGCGTGGTTTACTTTGCTAGGGTAGGTAGAACAATGCAAAATAAGTTGGGTTTGCTCAGTAAAAAAATGTCGTAACGTCATCAGTTTTCAAGATACAAGGTGTTGAAACAATATTTTTTTCACACATTTTTTATGATTATGGTGAAACTACTGGCAACATTGTGATGAAATTTTGTATGGATGTTTCTTGGCATCTGACACATCGCATGCATTTGTTTTTATATCTGACTGTCATAGAGGGCACTAGTTACACGGTTCGTACCGAGTAGTTTTGAATATAACTTTTTTGAGGTTAGATTTTTCAATTCAAACTTGAACATCATTCAATTTCACACCAAAAAGGTACTCTTGGTAAAAATCGATATTGTGTTCCGTTCTCGGAATATTTCGATTTGAAAATGATGAAGTGATAACTGTTGCTGGTATAAAGCTATGTATTAGAGTGAGTATTATGAAAAATTATCACCTATTTATTGAAGAGCGAAAACAGCAATACATTTCTGATGCAAAACTCATTGATTTAACAATGAATCACAAGAATAACATCGAAACAGATTTGACTAAGAACATGGATTACACAGTTTTGTTGTATCTTGAGCAGAAAGTCTATGCTACATAGGTAAATTCACGTCAAGAGTTGTGAGACATAATTGAACATCACTTAAATGACCTAACAGCTGATCCTCAACTGTTTAGAAGAATAATAAATTCTAAAAAAAAAGAATATAGGATCATGTCTGAACACTTACTCTAACTGATTCAATATTTCATGTTTCTAGTCAAATATCTCTTAATTTTCTACTTATGATTCTTTGTTCCATCAATAACTTCAGCACAAGAATAATTTTATTGTTTTTGAACCTGAATAAATAGGTAATTGAACTCAATAAAATTCATTTTATACCAGCATCATTACTACTCAATTATTTGCAAATCGAAATATTCCGAAAACGGAACATATAGTATCGAGTTTCACCAGGAGTACATTTTTGGTGTAAAATTAAATGATGTTCAAGTTCATATCATATTTGGATTGAAAAATCTAACCCCAAAAAAGTTATGTTCAAAACTACTCGGTACGAACCGTATAACTAGCGCCCTCTATGAGAGTCAGATATTAAAACAAATTCATGGGATGTGTCAGATTTCAAGAAACATCCATACAAAATTTCATTACAATATTGCCAGTAGTTTTGGAATAATCGTGAGAAATGTGTAAAAAAATAATTTTTTCAACACCTTGTATCATGAAAACGGATGCCGTTACGCCATTTTTCCACAGAACAAACCCAACTTATTTTGCGATGTTCTACCTACCCTAGCAAGGGGGTTAGGTTTTTTTGAAACACCCTGTAGAGTGACGACAATAGACCTTCAAATGGCTGCCGTTGCCGCAGTCACTGAATAGCTAAAAATCTGTAATGCATTTGCGCCTTCGAAGTACCTAGAGTTCCTAAATGTACTTCACACTGCTGTTTTGACGTTTTTAGAGTACGGACACTAGACAAATAAGATACGTCACAATATTCGCGGGAATCAATGTTACCAGGTGGCACTCGATGTTCATCGTTCCATGTCAAAGCCACGTCAAAACTGGGGGAAAACAAACTCAATCCCATTAGTGCCATTAGCTTGTGCTTGTGTACTGATAAGAGTGATAAGTTTTTAAATTTCTCGACATCAATTGTCAATATACGGTCGAAAACGCTAATAATGCCTGTTGTAGATGTTCTTCTGGCAGATGTTTTGCTCTATTTAGATAGAAAAAGCCGACCAGTAGTGGAAGGAGAAGCAGTGCTCCGTGCTAATCATGTGATTTTGTGTGAGGCAGAAGACTTCAACAAAAGGCACATCTTTGCACTTTGTCTACAAACTTCGGCGATGAAATCTTCCCCACATAAAGTAAAATTGAAGTTGGGGTCCAGAGGAACTCCTGTAGAACAATGGATTTGTATTTGTTCCTGCAAAGCAGGACAATCTGGGTATTGTAGCTGTAGTTGTTCTTTTATATGTCAATTGATTTGCTCGTCATAATTAGTTTGAATTGTTTGAACTATCTCCAATTCTTCACCTCTTCACTGTTCAGTAAACTAATAAAAATGTAATAATGTAAAAAAATTAACCAACTCAACCATCATCACTACCAACAGTGCCAACACTTTATGTCATTGACAAGTTTGACTACAGCTACAGCATGCTGAATGCAATGTAGTCTATGCACTTTATCTATTGACAACAGTTTGTTTTCCCCCAGTTTGAAGTTCGTATTATGTAACCTAGATGTCGCCCACTTCGTGAATCTCGCAAATAGGGGTGAGCCACTTCTGAGAAATACTAGGTAGGTATATGTGTAAGTATGAACAATGTTCATACTGAATGTCTCAACATGATAAGATTTTCTTTATAAACTTGACAGGAATGTGAATCTTGACAGGAGTACGAAATATTTCAAGGGTTAGAACAACAACAACTCAGAGGTCACTGACATACTGAAAATATCGTCTATAAGAGTGATTTTTCATATTTTTTTTCAATTAAGACAATATTAAACCTCGCCTAGTAGCTAGAACGACATTGTTCTGACTAGGATCCCTTGATGTAAATTGACGTATTTGTCATCTTAACAGGGTACGGACAGATCCTCGTCTCCTCTCACTCTAAAGTGTTTGTGAAACAGTTATATAGTTCCATCTTTATTCATTTCTAGGGATACACACTAGATTTCTGACATTTGTTGTTTGTTAGGTTATATTGAGGACATTGGCGTATCATACGTAATTTCCACATGTAATTTCTCATTCAACTCTACTTATTATATCAAAATGATGATGATAATTTTCGAGTTTTTGATTTTTCAACTCCAGCATAATCTTTGTGAGGCAGTGAGCAATTTTTTCTGAACGTTTAATACGTTTCACCAAATGGGACTGTTCTTAGGCAGTACCATTCAATAAATGAATTTTGATTTCAGACTAAGCCTTCTTGTTGATAAATGGTGAAAAATTTTATGTAGGTATTCAAACTAATGGGCTCATATGTCATGTGTGCTGTATATTTTCATGTTGGGAATCATTTTTGCAGTTTTTGACGAACACTTGATATTTCCTGAATGTAGGTATAATTTTTTAAATGGTAGAGCATATGCCTCTTCTTTTAATCCTCCGTGTTAATCAAAACTGTTTCTACTAAAATGCATTGAAAAACTTGAGGAGTGGATAATTATAGGCACAATGAGAAAGTATAATGTGTGATTCCGTAGTAGATTTACCTCGAATATTTTTCTGATGTATGTACCAATTTTCCCCATTCGGTCACTTCACTTTCCATTTTCTAAGTTCATTTGCATTTGATGGAAAGCTGACAAATTCAAATTTGCCATCCCACTGATTGAAACAGCCTAACGCAGCACATTTTACCATCCTTCCGGAACAGAATTAAATAATGTCGTATTAAGATAAAGTATGAAATTAAAATTTTGTAAGATCTCTTTTAACGCCTATGAATGTGATGTGACAGCAATGTCATTTCAGGGACGCCAATACACGAAACCAAAGTCACTAGATGATTAAAAGAGAATGGAGCTATGATCTATCCGTTGCCTGTTAGATGACAAATACGTCAGTTTGCATCAAGGGACCCTAGTTCTGACATTGACACAAAAGCTAATACTTTTCCTTTATTTCAGATGGCGATTGCGAACGTACAAGGAGGTATTTTCAGGCGAAAAATTTGTCGATTGGCTGATAGAGGTGGGTTTGGCTAGAGACAGAGTCGAAGCTGTCAACTATGCCAGACACCTCATCGAAGGTAAGGTTTTGAGGCACATCAACAGTGTCTATCACTTTTACGACAGGAATCTATTGTATACCTTCGTCTAAGGTAGGTTTTTGCGATTTGTTTTTGTTAGCAAAGGATATCGATTTGTTTCTTGTTGATTTTTATGCTTGTTGACTCTGGAATCTAGCACTGACCGACTATGATTTCATGATTTAATTGAATAATGATTATCTACGACAGTCAGTACATTGTTCTACTACTGTGAAATGACATAACCTCAATACCTGACATGAACAGACAATTTGCATAATCTTAGTTATGTAATAGTAATATTCCCAATCAGCTTTGAAATCCATCAGCTTGAAAGAATCTCTATCAAAATGGGCCTAAAATTCATCTTTTTTGTACTGTTTTTACAAGTGAATTCGAATATTTACCTCACATATTGCGGATTTCTTGAAATTAATTTTCCATTCTGGACGTTTCATTGCATTCTTCCATGACATTATCTCAAAAGGATCATTCGGAAAATTGAATAACTTGAACCCTTTTTCTAATGAATTATCGCAATATTGTACGTAGCAGGACATTGAAATAATTTAAAATGCAAAATTTTGGCGGTCATAACATTTCAAAGTGACAGTGACAGAAATTCGAAATAATTAAAAAAAGCGGACGAGACGACTATGGTGTTTCGTCACATTGTCAGGTGGGCAAACCAAATGAAACAAAATATTAACCCAGATATGCCTAAATCTTTTTTGAGGAATTCAGAACTTTGAATGCTCGATATTCCATCTGAATGAGGTCGAAATAAATGAAGTATCTGGCCGTCCTACATTTAGGACATTAGGCACATATGGATGATAATTGAAACTGGTTATGTTTCTTGATGATACATGATGAAACACTTTGTGTGTAGTCTAGCGTTACATTTTGAGCACCCCGTAGTAGTTTTCTTGATGACACAAGGCACATCGTGTTTGTTTGACTTGTGAAATGACAAAATGACCAAGGCGGTCATATCTTAAATCAACATCTTCTCTTTCGAACTGTCTTCGGAGATTTTCTCAGTGACTAATTCATTTTTTCCATCTTCCTTTCTTTCCCAATATATTCTCTACTGCATGGAACTCGAATATATCAACTAAACATTGAGGCTCTGATGAAGCTGATGAGCAACGTGTCTGTTCCAAACTAGGTTCGTCCAAAAATTTTGAGAATAATTCGAGTGGGCCAATTGAACCTTCATTATCAATATTATTCTCATAATCGGATCTATATCTATATAGAGGGCAAATCTCTTACTATCCAACTATTAATTTTACATTTTTCTGTCTTAACTTCCTTGGATTTCTTCTTCCTGTACCGTTTTTGTTATCTCAGATAATACCACATCATTCTCTGGAGAAAAAGTATCATCAACACCAACATGACTTTCATTGTGTCAAAGATTCAACTCAACTGGAGCGCGAAATTCAGATCCTGTCAACTCGTTTATTGAATAGCTGCCTAATGTCCTATATGTAGGACGGCAACAATAAAACTGAGATATGAAAAACAAATATCATGAATGGTCGAAAAAGATACAGCATATGAAACAAAGGTTATTTATGTGATCATTGAGACCACAAATTGGATTTGAACATGAAAATAAGAATGAAAGAATAACTCACCAAGCAAAGCGTACACTGTTATCTTCCATTTTCTGAAATAACCTTACTTCAAACCTGCTGTTGAGCTCAAATGGAGCGAGTCTGTGAATATTGTTGACATGTCCATAATCATTTGATGTGGAATGAATGCGTAGTTTTGCTACAAATAGAAAGATGACGCTAGTAGAGAAAAAAATAGAGCGAGCATAGGTGAACAACATATAGTACATTAGGCATATCTGGGTTTTAAAAACCCCAACGGCTGTCAGTTTTGGGTCCGGACTCTTGTCTAAAGTATATACAGGGACTCTAGTCCGTATCAACGCAGTAGACTAATTGAATTCCAATTATTTACTACCAGTCCACTAGCACTTCTATTGTTGTTAATGTTAAGTGTCAGACTCATGCGCAATGACTTACGAGCGATGTTGCGGGCTAAACTCTCTTTTGATCTAGTCTATCTGTAACAGCTGGAAACCCAGGTTTTACCAGGGGTCTTTTGGGTGCTATAGCACCAGGCGGCAAAATCTTCAAGGCGGCTATGTGAAAATACAACTGCACATCTTTTGTCATCAGTCATTATCTGGATATTTTGATTTTTACGCGAAAGATTTGATGACTACAGTACATAAACTGAAATTTATGTTAAGAAGTGAATCATTCCAAGAAAAGCACAATTTGGAGAAAAAATACGGCAAAAAGTTCAAACCAGAGAGAAAAATTGTGGACACAGTGTTTTATTTTAAGTTGCAGTTGTTCAGAATCATTTGACTTTCTGTTCAAAATAGTGTCAGCAGAGGATGGAAATTTGATTAAATTGGCAACTAAACTACAAAAAAGTATGTAGTACGTGGACAAATTTGTTTCTGACCAATGTTATTCATCTGAAAAAAATAGTTTTCTCTCCTAGATACTAAAGCAGAAACTCCTATTATGGAATTAGTCCCAAGTTCTACACGATAATAATGTAATATAATATCTTCTTTTCCCAATATGAATACTTGTTTTCGAAATTTTTGAGCTAACACTTTTTGTCTGAACTCAAACAAGATCTACTAAATGAAACTAATGTATTGAGCTTGTGAAGAGTATCATACATAAAAGCTTGTATTGAAGCAAGAAAACACATTTTTGTATTGTTAAAAATGACGTACAAATGTCTAAATAATCTAATCTGTTGTTCTGGAATTAATCAGCTCAACTGTCGAATATTGCTTCTTAGAGTATTTTTTCATCATTAGAGGAATTATTCTGTTAACGCGGCTGTTACGTCTTAAAGCAAGAGATATCCTGAATATTTATGGTTACTTATTTTGAACACTTGGTATTGTTTGTATCTGATGACTTTAGCCTGATTGATGTAAGAATAAAAATGTTTTGAGCATGTTATGTCAGTCATTGAATCCGAATAGATTGAAATAAAATCATTCTGGATCTAATAACGTGCCTAATTGAATATATATTCAACATTGTGGTCCTTCGAGCATAAAAAGAACGCGCTATGGGGTCAAAATCAGATATTGAATCTGGATGTCAACGCAGAAGCAGTAGATGCAATTAGGGTCTCCCGCCTAAAAGGTTTTCAGATTACGTACTGGATAAGAGATTTGAACCAGATTCACATGTTATACCATTTACTAGTCTTGTTGAAACTAGAGAGCGAGAAGGTATCATGTGTTCATCATCAGAAAATGTGTCTGAAAACCATGTTTTGGAGCCGATAGGTAGGAAAACTAAATCTGATGTTGATTCATGATACCTTGACCACACAATGTTAAATATATATTCAAATAGGCACGTTATTAGATCCAGAATGATTTTATTTCAATCTATTCGGATTCAATGACTGACATAACATGCTCAAAAAATTATTATTCTTACATCAATCAGACTAAAGTCATCAGATACAAACAATACCAAGTGTTCAAAATAAGTAACCATAAATATTCAGGATATCTCTTGCTTTAAGACGTAACAGCGGCTAATATTTGTTCTAGTCAAATCCAAATATTTTAGTCCATTTTTATGGTAAATATTGTAAGTTTCACAATTGTTCCACATGGAAACATTGTAGGTACTGATGTTGACGAATGAGATATATTTTTGTAAGTGTTGTTTGTTATTGGGGTATTGAAAAAAAAAACAGATTTTTGGCACGCGGAGGTTTACTTTTAGGCCATGGTTCATTGACAATTATTATGCTTCAACCAGAATGCGCATCTTCTATTTTAATTTCAGATGATGTTGAAAAATATAAACTTGTAATTCAGCTGAAAACCTCACAGCTTGTTTACTTTGTGTATAGTTGACAGCCATTATCTATACACGACAATGTAATAGCCCGATATGGACAATATAGAATGTATTAAATAGCCGATTTTTCACCTTTATTCTCCCTACCTCTGTTTTTACCTTTTGTCAAATGCAGAGACAGTAAAAGAACGATTACTATATGGGCGAACCGCTCATTCTTCAATCATTGTCGATCTAAATGAAAACCTAGTAAGCGACCTAGTACGCGAGGAGACTACTAATTACATAACCTAACTAGGGTGTCATTTAGAACGACCATGCTTCAATTATTACCCCTTATAGAGGGTGTTTCAAAAAAACCTAACCTCCTTGCTAGGGTATGTAGAACATTGCAAAATAAGTTGGGTTTGCTCAGTATAAAAATGTCGTAACGCCATCCGTTTTCAAGATACAAGGTGTTGAAACAATATTTTTTTTACACATGTTTTACGATTATGTTGAAACTACTGGCAACATTGTGATGAAATTTTGTATGGATGTTTCTTGGAATCTGACACATCGCATGCATTTGTTTTTATATCTGACTCTCATAGAGGGCGCTAATTACACGGTTCGTACCGAGTAGTTCCGATCATAACTTTTTTGAGGTTAGATTCTTCAATCCAAATTCGATGTGAACTTGAACATCATTTAATTTCACACCAAGAAGGTACTCTTGGTAAAACTCGATACTGTGTTCCGTTTACGGAATATTTCGATTTGAAAATGATGAAGTGATAACTGTTGCTGGTATAAAGCTATGTATTAGAGTGAGTATTATGAAAAATTATCACCTATTTATTGAAAACCGGAAACAACAATACATTTCTGATGCAAAACTCATTGATTTAATAATGAATCACAAGAATAAGATCGAAACAGATTTGACTAAGAACATGGATTACACAGTTTTGTTGTATCTTGAGCAGAAAGTCTATGCTACATAGGTAAATTCACGTCAAGAGTTGTGAGACATAATTGAACATCACTCAAATGACCTAACAGCTGATCCTCAACTGTTCAGAAGAATAATACATTCTTAAAAAAAGAATATAGAATCGTGTATTCCTCGAAACGTAGGACCTTTTGAACACTTACTCTAACTGATTCAATATTTCATGTTTCTAGTAAAATATCTCTTAATTTTCTACTTATGATCCTTTGTTCCATCAATAACTTCAGTACAAGAATAATTTCATTGTTTTAAAACCTGGATAAATAGGTAATTGAACTCAATAAAATTCATTTTATACCAGCATCATTACTACTCCATTATTTTCAAATCGAAATATTCC